TATATATATATATATATATATATATATATATAGACACACACACACACACATATATATATATATCTATATATATATATATACACACACACACACACACACACGTCATAAATCATTTCCAGGATGATCCGTAGCTCTACGAAAGACGTTCGTTCACACCAAAAAATACATTTAAAGATAAGTACGGATATATATCGTTATGTAAACAAAAAAAAATGCGCGTTGCATCAATTGTGTGCCTTATTCTGTGGCGGCCGTTTTTGTAACTATTTCAGAGCACTCTCCTTGATAATAGTCAGTAGCGAGAACGCGAGATGCGATTAAAACTTGTTAAAACTGATGAAGAACGAAAGATGAAGATTGAGAGGAGAAAAGATTTTGCGGGCGGCTCGCCCGCACGCCGCGATAATGATCCTTATCGAGGCATGCACACTCAAAACAAAAGAAAACAACTCATTCAATTCCTTTTCACGAGATTATACCAACCTGTATTCATCATCGGACACATATGTACAACCGGCATGCGATTATTCATAAAGACATTAAAGCGTTGCATCTTACACGAGTCATATTACTGTACAATTATCTTAGTTGAAGTTAACACGTACGGAATAAGTGTACTTGAATTTTGTTGTGTTTTTGCTTATAAAAATATGAATAAAATGTTTCAATTAAATCGACGGTACTCTTTCGCTTGCGACTCATGCTCAGGTGCGTAAACGCCAAGGATAAAGATATATGTGGCAAAATTGTTACTATTTGGTTAATTGGCTATTAATTAGGTAACAGAAATATTTCTTATTTTGTAAATCGGATCAATAATTCAAGACAATATGTATATATATACAGCGCGTGAGACAATATTAAATCTCAAGAGAGATTATCTTCAAAAAGTAAAAATATTTTATTGACGATCAGATGAAGATGGAAAAAATTTATATTTGCAGAAAGTGTGCGAAGTGATTACCATTTGTATCAATACAGTTTCTATTAGATCAATTTTTCTTCTACTCTTCTATTTCAAAGATATTCAAGATGGTAATAATTTTTGTTTCGCTCTATATATGTCTCAAGATCATCAAGTATGTATATTTTATAAATCTTCAATGCGATAACACAGGAAACATTTTTATCTAACGTTTTGTAGTTCAAACGCAGCGCGTGAAGTCGAGTTCAAAATTGCATACATCGAGCGATCGATAGCATTTACATCGACTAAATTTGAGAATGAGGGCGAGATCACAGACTTCTGCATAACGTATAAAACCCACAGCTCACGTTTGTTTTCATCTTAAAAGTCCGTATCAGGCTACGGATTGGGGATTGAGATTGAATTAAATTTAGCCAATCAGTGTAAAGTTAACTAAACTCAGGTTTAGTGAAATTCAGTGAATTCTATATTGATTGGTCACATTTCAATTCAATCTCAATCTTCAATCCATAGTCATTGATATGGGCTTAGGTTCATTTCCAGATGCTGTATAGCTCATTTCATTGGTTACAAAATGCGACAATGCTTATCATGCGGCGGAAATTCGCGCGGTAGCCAATAAACTTCTGTTAGTTCTCACCGCAAACGGCATGTTGGTTGGCTACTGCGCGAATTTCCGCCGTGCGGCAAGTATTGCCGCATCCTGTGGGCAGAAGCCATTAGGTAACCTGATTGGCCCGCTTGTAATATTCATTCCATAGCTGAAACAGGTTTTATGCATATACAATATACAAGTTTGTCTGGATAGCCTGGATCTATAGTAGATATAGCAAGCCTTAACCCGTCAGTTCCCAATGCACCCTCCAGATGGCACAATATTTTTGACTTATAAACCATCGAAATAACCATAGAGATATAAGAATAGAGGGAACAAGGGATATATGCTACCTGTAAGTGGAAGTGATAGAGGCAAAGAGAGAGATGGATGCCGAATGTCCTATCTGTCTCTTTCTAGTCACGCGCTGGGATTGGCTGCCGCGCCAACGACGATATAGCTATACATTTTTCTCCATCCAATTCAAAGAAACTGTCATTGCTAAAATGATCACTGCAAATATATGCTGTTTTCACTTCAAAATACAAAGGTAGTTGAAGTATATTCAACCATTTACATCTACTTCCTTACATCTACATCCTTCGGTAGCCTACAACATTTAGATATTTTTTTAAATGTAGGAAAAAATAACATATAATTATTTGAGGTTACGTATTTGTACTTTCTTACGAGTGAAAACTGCGGTTACATCCAGGATAAGACTCCGCCTTGCATTTCAAACAATGCCTCATTTTTAAACAAATCGCGTCCAATTATTATTTTGTTAACGTTCGAATATTTAACGAATTTTAATTCTACACACATGTGCACGCATATTTACAAAACGAAATTTTAGTCTGCTTTCTCCCCTCCTGACGTCGCGTGGTCGTCTTGGCGGCTCATTGTAACAACCAATCACAGCGCTCAACTAGAAAGAGACAGATAGGACACTCGGCATCCATCTCTCTCTTTGCCTCTATCACTTCCACTTACAGGCTTGTTCCCTCTATTCTTATATCTCTATGGAAATAACATTGCTAACCTATAACATAGCTCTAAGTGTTCAGTTTAGATACTAGTGACTCTAAAACAAGTTGTCAACACTGAATACAAGCAATACATAAGTGAAAAATAACCTTCCAAACTTTATCATTACCACTTTTCCGAAACATTCAAAACCTATAAATTTGGTTTCCTTAGATTCCCAAACATGAGATTTCTTAAGAGGAAACAGAAATTTGTGGTTTCAATTCATTTGAGAACTGACGAGTTAAAAACGTTGACCAATCGCAATAAACATAGACAGAAGTAAGAATAAAAAATTAACCAATCAAAGTCGGTTATTTTCCTTACATTCCTTATTTCTCATAAATATACTCCTATTGTTCATTGTAGATCATGCATTATGTTTAAAGTTTACTATATTTATTGTAGATACGAGAATAGGCCTTAAGAACCTTATTAGATACGCATTAGAGATTGAGTTGAAATTTGGCCAATCAGAGCAGAGTTCACTAAATTTCAGTGAATTTTGCATTGATTGGCTAAATTTCAATTCAACCTTAATTTCCAGTGCTGACTGATAAAGACTTAAACCCGTATCAGATTATGGATTAAGATTGATATTGGCTATATTTCAATCCAATCTCAATCCTAATTTGTAGTCTGATACAGGCGGTTGCCAAAACTTTCAGTTTCAATTCAGATGTGTTCGGACTCGTTCGGAGCAACGATCGTTCGTAATTGGTATAAACTGCGAAGTCTTTCAAATCACCACGTCAGTTTCTCAAAAACCGTTCACTGGTGTATTAGCTGAATATATGAGTCATGGTATAATTCCACTGCATAAATTACAGAATAAAAAGTAAGTAGACGTAAAAGCGTAGTATAAACTTTTTCCGAAGAAAGATCCCTAGTGTAAGTACGGTGCGACACCATGTAAACATTTCATTAGTCGAAGCGATCGTACGTCCATGTGTTTGTTTCCTACACACAAATTGACGCCAATGCTGAGAAGCAACACTTTTGATCGATCAGTCTTCCGTTTTTCTTCCAAAAATAACGTAACGCGTAACAACAGCAGGTGATTGATCACTACGCGCTACTTCCACGCGTGCCACGTTACGCGTGGTGGCAGCCAAAGCGTTTCGATTTGATTCGATACGATAGATCGCGTGTATCGCAATCAGACGTCTCAAGCACCGGAGCTCGCGAGAGCGAGAAAGACGATCGTAACGGATCGGAGAGAAAGAGAACGAGAGATAGAAAGAGCGACACACGTCGCACACGAGGGTGTGTAGCGGTGTGACAAACTTGTGCACACGCACTACACTCGACGAAGGCTGCGCCGTATGTACGTATACACATGTGCACGCGTACGCACCGTGTGAATAGAGCAGTACCAACGACGTATACGCACGCGATAGGCGATCGTGCGCGCGGGCACGCGCGCGCGCGTTGTGTGCACCCTCTCTTTCCTTTCTATTTGTCTTCTCTTCTCGCTCCCTCTGACCGCGCGCGTGGTGGCGGAGGGAGGCGGCGGGTACAGCGAGGAGGTAGTGGAGCGAGTGCGAAAGACGAGCGAGCGAGCGAGCGCGAGCGCAAGTCAGGAAGCAGAGCGTGAGCGGTAGAGCGGCGGCGAGTGTGTGTCGGCATAGAGCGAGCGAGCGAGCGAGCTAGGCGAGAGCGCGTGCGGTGGTGGTGGTGTGACGACTGGTGCCGTGGACGGACGGACGGACGGGTCGGTCGGTCGGTCGGTCGGCGGTCGGGCCGTGGTGTGTGGAAGGACGAAGGAAGGAAGGAAGAGAAACGAGGAGGAAGTGTGCAAAATTCGCAAGTGCGCGCTGTGCCGGCGACGGTGAGAGAGGAGAGGAATACGTTTGGGGATTTGTGTGAGGGCATAGCTCGCTGGCGGCGATCCGAGGAAGGGAGATTATCGTCGCCGCCGTCGTCTCGAAGGGGTCTCGCGCGCGCCTCCACGGACCAGTGTGTCGTTGGGGATCTCTGTCTGTCTCGTTCTTTTTTCCGTGTTCACTCTCTTTCTCTCTCTCTCTCACACACACTCTTTCCGTCTCCTTTTATCTCTCTTTCTCTCTCTCTCTCTTTTTCTCTCCCCCTCACTCTCCGATCGCCGGGGGGCCTGCCGCCGCGAGGACGTCGAGGGAACGACGACGCGTGGAAGTTTAACCGGGAGAAGAGGAGCGTGTCGCGAGGAGCACAATGTCCGACCGGGAGAGCCTGGACGATCAACCGCAAAGTAAGGAAACAGCCAGGCGAAGAAGCGCCACGACCGTTCGTTCTCTCCCTCTCTTTTTGTGTTACCGTGTCTCTTATTCTCCGTCTCTTTTTCTCCCGCGTACTTGGTCTCACGACCGCTATGCCTCGGCGGCGTCGCGCCGAACGGACGAAACGTGCGCGGATTACGTCGTGAACCGACATCTTTTTTCCCCATGGCCTATCTCCCCCCTCTCTCTCTCTTCTTATTTTCATATCTCTCTCTTTCCGTCTGGTGCTTCGGTGCTTCTTGTGCAACGCAGCGTGCTCGCGCGCGCGTTAAACCCAGAGCAGGATGAGCGATCGCCCGCCTTCTTGGAGCATCGGCAGAGCTAACGCGACGAACCTCCCCCCCCCCTCCCCTCGCTTCCATCATACTCTCGTTATCCATGAAGAGGTTCGAGGAAGTAACTTGCCGCGACGAACCGCCGCGAGAATGCGTACACGCACAAATGCGACTTTCCGCGTCCTCGTGGCCGGTTCTGTCAAGCGCGTGCTGCGACGAGAATCGCTATTTTTCAACGGCACCCAGGATCCAAGATGGCCGGCTGCGTGTCGGTCGAGAGAGGATAGCCCCTCTCGTCCCCCCGTCTCGCTCACATGCTTCGCTCTCTTGCTCCTTTGGCCGCAAGCCTTTGCCTTCCTTCTCCCCTCTCTCGCTCTCTCTTTCCATCTGTGCGTGTGTCTCTTTCGCGCTTTCCTTCTGTCTCTCCTTTGCACGCGCGCTCTTTCTCTTTCTGTCTTTCGCATCGCCGCTCGGCCCTCGTGAGTCGAATATTCGCAACTTCCGACGTTGCCGAGCGTCGCAATGCCGGTTCCTCTATGCGGCGCTCGCTTTTCTTTTTTTTTTCTCTCTCTCTCCTTCTCTTTCCTTTCCCATAAGCCGGTCGTGCGACTGGAGCACGAAATCTCGCTCCCGGTCGTCGCACGAATCCGGTGCGAATAAGCGGGCAGTACTACGTGATAAACGCGGTGGAATCGTCCCAGGCGCTGAGGAGCGCGGGTGTGATGTAATTCAGCTTCGATCTACAGCTATCTACCTAGCTATCTATCTACCTATCTATCTACCCAGCGGCGCGCAAAGCACGCAACGGTTTGTCCATTCGAGTCGTCCACGAATCGCGTAAACTTCACGCGGACGCCCGACGCCTTAGCGTACGAGGTTATGTTACATTTCTAGGCCCGCATTTGTGGCACGCCCCGAATATACGTAACCGCATGTGTTAGGGCATTCATAACGCCGTGTGTTTCACGGGCGAACGGAGGGGATCATCCTTCTCTCTCTTTCTCTCAGCTCGTAACGCCGCGTCTTTTGACCTCGAAACCGAAAGACCAACGAGCGTGACTCCGAATAGATACCGCCATCATCGAACACCGGCCTTTACATTTTTTGTACATACAAAATTTGCACTTCTCTCTTCCCCCTCCCCCACATCTCTCTCTCTCTCTCTCTCTTTATTTCTTTCTTCCCCTCTGTCTCTCGTGAATCTCCTGCAGCGACACGCGGGTATCGCTCCTAACCTCATTTTTCACCTCTTCCCTTATGCCGCGAGTCACACGACATTGACACTCTCTTTCTCTCTCACTCTGTCCTTCGTTCGTCACACATTTTACCGATTAAATTAGACTTAGCCGTTCTAGCGAAGCTAGCGAATATTCGCTAGCATGGATTATTCGCGGCCTGGCACGAGACACTCGCAGAAATCTCGATAAAGTTTACGAAAATTCACGTGAAATCGCGTATCGAAATCTATCGAACATCGGTGAATTCAAATTTTGATACTGTGCATACGTGTCAGTAACTTTTCAACATATTTCTTCTTTCCATGTTTGGACTAATATATTTCGAAGTAGAGAGAGAGAGAGAGAGAGAGAGCGAGCGAGCGAACGAACGTTGTCTTCTCGTGAAGTTGTTTTCACGTTTACTTCATCGACAACAACGAGAACTAGTTGATTAGCATGAGATGTCTTTTCCTGTGACTACAGCGTTGAACATTGAACTCTTCGGTTATATCGGTTTTGGTTCTCTCTTCTAATATATTTCAGTCCTTCGAGCAACAATCTCATTCGTGAGTTACGGCGAAATCTCGTAACTTATCGTCGTAATCCCCCACTCGGGCTCCAAATTCAGTATACTATGCCGGGATTTCAATATTTCAAGTCCATATGTTACTATGTACTTGAGCTAGAAGTTTACTCGTATCGTATTACAGCGAACATTTCGTTCCGTCGATATTCCACCACGGCGACATTTTGCTATATATATTCGGAGAACGGCAGATATATATACGAGTATATATATATATATATATATATATA